TGTGGGAGAACGGAAATATTGCCACGAAGAATGTCACAAAAACTGCAAGTACTAGAAGTGCCCCGTTATACAGTCGAGGCAGTGACATACAGGAGAACAAAGTTATTGCATAAAGAGGTCAACAAAGCTGGAAAACAAATCGTATGAGGAGCAGCTGAGGGAGTTGGGACTGTTTAGTGTGAGGAAGAGAAGGCTGAGGGGAGACCTCATCACTCTCTACAACTTCGTGAAAGGACACTGTAGAGAGGTTGGTGCTGGTCTCTTCTCACAGGTAATTAGTGACAGAACGAGAGGGAATGGCTTCAAGCTCCAACAGGGTAGGTTTAGATTGAACATTAGGAAAGAATTTTTCACCGAAAGAGTGATAGGGCATTGGAACAGGCTGCCCAGGGAGGTGGTGGAGTCACCATCCCTGGCTGTGTTTAAGGGCCATTTAGATGCAGTGCTAAGGGACATGGTGTAGGGGAGAACTTTGTAGAGTAGGGTAGATGGTTGGACTCGATGATCCCAAGGGTCTCTTCCAACCTAGACGATTCTATGATTCTAAGACGACCAGCTTGTGAAAGTGAACCTCCCTAAATCACCAAACCCACCACTGAGACATCAGGACAGCACCACCACAGTAGGTATTGCAGAGCCACGGCCCAAGAGAGGGCTCGGAGGGAGGAGCACACGTAGGCAAAAAGCTGCAGGTGGCCGGCAGGGAGAGCAGATGAATACCATCACCAAACTCAGACAAACATCAGCAAAAGCCACCAAAAGCAACATGTCATTTGCTGTCAGTAAAGCAGGAAGACGACAGGTGAACGTATAAGAAGCGAAGTAGCCAGGACACATACACTTCTCTAAAGGACCCAAAGCAGTGAGATGTGTTGACGGCATGAAACGTTTCTGTTTAAGGATAGAGAACGCAAAAGAATTGCCTCATAAATTATTCTCTGTTCTGGAGGAAGAGTGAATAGACTTGAAGGACAGGTGATGTCTCTGAAATATGCAAATAGAGCTGAACTGGTCCAAGCAATTACCTTTCTACTGCCTGGAACTTCAGACTGAAAGGAATGACTCACAAGGAAGAACAAGAAACAAAAGATGCACTAAAAGGTAGAAGATGACGAAGGAAGATTGCATCAAGAGGAGAAGGCAGACAAGCATGGAGAAGTATAGTCCTGACCTCCTACTACCAGTTGTTCTTGGGAAAAGGAACAAAACAGCCTATGACACAAAGCAGAGTAAGACCATGCCAACACAGGAAGACCTAACTGCAAAGAATCCAGAAAGGCAATTGTGATTATTGGTTCTAGATTTTTGCGTTTAAGATAAATACAGCAAGGAGATTCCTGTAGCTTCATGAATGTACAGACAACAGATCTCTCCTCAGTATCCTTTAGGTTATGTGCTACTGTAAAGATTTCCTAGCAAAAATAAAAATGCTGAAAATAAACGCAGTATGATCATTTCTTTCCAGTTTTAGACAAACTATCACACAACCTGCTAGCAGCATGGGTGAAGAAGAAACTAAAACACATTGGCAATAGCCATGGAGACGAGCCAACAGATGTGCCTCTAGAGTCAAAAGTGGCAGACCAGCTTCATGGAGCAGAGAGCAGCTCTCCCAATAAGGTGCAAGTCAGATTTTGGTTGCTACTGGTGTTCTCATTGCTTCTGAACGTGAATTCAGGGTGCTCCTACTGCATCCAGAATGTTTTTACTTTGGGGTTTTTTTCCATCCAAAACAAGCAGAGATTACTAAATTATAGCAGTTTCAGTCTGATGCTGAAAACATACTAATACAGAAACTGCAAGGTCAATATGAATGAATGAATCAATGAAGAATCAAGAAAAGGAAATGAAGAAGTGGATCTATTTGGACTGCATTAAGAAATACTGCATTTAGTTCCATTCTATTTATTAAGAAAAATACTGACAGCATAAAAGCTGCAGAACAGTAGTAAAACTGCTGGGAAAAAAATGAACCTATGAAAAAGACAAGGTGTTTCTAAGTTTCAAATTTTCCATATTTAGTACTAAAGAATCAACATATAAAAACCCCTTTGCAAGTACACAAAACAGGAGAGAAGTATTTAAAATCACACATAGGAACAACTTTTCACAATGAAATGAGGAAAAAAAACATGTAAGTAATATTGAGAAAGCTTTACAACAGCAAAATTAATGAAGCTGCACAATGAGAAATTCAACACCCTTGAACTGTAATTACTATTTAGGATTCATAATGATCTGAAAGCTGAATTTTTCCAATTTGTACCAAGCATTTATACTGCTTTTAACCAAATACTAGGAGTATTTCATTCATGATCTACTGAACGCAAGAAAAATCCAAAGGAACTCAGCAGATGAGCATGTAAAGTAGACACAATGACAGTGATGAAGCACTTTGTAATGTACCCACAGATCTTTTCTATAAATCCAATTTGAAATTTGAAGACAAAAATAGCTATTTTATCTCCGTCCCCTGACGCGTGCATCTCTCCATCATTTTAAAGAACGGAGCTCCCTCTCGTGGCTGCGGAAAGTGGATTTGGTTGGGGGGAAGGACTAGAGAGCATTTTGGTCGTACAAAAGAGGAATTAAAAAGAATATGTAGTAGGAAGGGCAGGTGGCTTCTAAAGAAAGCAATATCACCTGGTTTTTGATGCTAAATTTTAAATTACATCCTCTGCTAATGTAACTTCCACTGCTGAGCCTTTATGGACCTGAGCATATTCCTTGAATGTAAAGAGCTCAGATCTCTTAACAAGTTTCTAGCTCGGTCATAGGCAAGGCACAGGAAAAGAAAAGAGTCATGACAAGAAATGTGGCACCTGTGCAGCAGGATGCAGGGACAGTAAACCTGATAACACCCTCCAGATTTTCCTCAGGATTATAGCTCTGTGCACTGAGACCACACGGAGGAAAAAAAAATATATAAATCATTGGCTTCAAAAAGCCAAGAAATATTCACAGTTACAAGAGTGAGAGAAGAGCATCTATTGAAACACTGGAGCAAAAGCATCTGAAAAAAGGTCTTGTTTCTTTAAACCACTAACAGGTTGGCCCAGCCACCTTCACAGAAACTTCTGTTCAAGCTCCAGCATTGCTCTCCTCCTCCAAGCCCTTCACTTCTTGCATTGACTATTCAAGAAGGGAGGATGGAGCAATGCATGAATGAGCAAACACGCTGGCCCAACAGCATTACTCCTGCAGGGTCTAGTTTCTGCTGAGTCCTGGGGACAGGCTTATGCAAGGACAGCAATGGGAAGAAACACGCTTACACGTGTTTATTCCTCACCTCAGGAGAAGAGGGAGGAGCTTCTTTAATTTTTTTTTTTAAAACTAGCAGATTATTCCACTTTCTTAGCTGACAGCTTTGTAACCCGAAAGTCACACCTGTGACAATAATATTTCTCTGAGGCAAGAAAATGAAGGGAGTACCCAAAGCCAAGCTTGTTACCATGCATGATAAGTCTTTTTATTAAAAGAAGCTCTAGCCATAAAAATTCAGGAAACTGTTGGGTGGTTTACTTTGTTTGCTTGTTTTAAATTGCTTAATGCATATTCTTATAGAATGGTTAGAGTTGGAAGGGACCTTAAAGATCATCGGGTTCCAACCTCCCACTAGACCAAACCTCCTCAAAGCCCCATCCAGCCTGGTCTTGAACACTTCTAGGGATGGGGCATCCACAGCTTCGCTGGGCAACCTGTTCCAGTGCCTCACCACCCTCACAGTAAAGAGTTTCTTCCTAATATCTAATCTAAGCCTACCTTCTTTCAGTTTAAAACCATTACCCCTTGTCCTATTGCTACACTCCCTGATAAAGAGTCCCTCTCCATCTTTCCTGTAGGTCCCCTTCAGGTACCAGAAGGCTGCTGTAAGGTCTTGCTTTACACTGCTAGATACTTTCTTCATTCAGGATCGTACAAGGATTCTTTTTAAATTATTTTATTTCTGTATGAGAGTTTTAGATTGGACAAGAATTTACACAGCTTGCAGCTAGCTTTTGCTAACTGCACTTCAGAGCATATTGCAAAGTGCACTGCACACCATATAAACCTATTTTCCCTGAGGACATTAAAAAGGGTTTCCTCTAAACAACAATATTTGTCTGCTGTAAAAACAGGATCAACACCATGAAACATGAACTAGTGAAGAAAAAACAATTACTCTTAAGTCTCTAGAACACCACCAGAAAACAACAAAGAATCAAATTCTTGATTCATAGGCTTCTGCTCACACAAGATTTTGCTTCCAAAGCACAGGACCAAAAATGAATCAGTTTCCTACTATGAAAAGAAATTACCATGCCTTCAGCATTTTGCTATTAGTAAAATATCTCCACTCTATCTCCAATCAAAGGCAATACTTTTTCTAAAAAGCAATCCTCTTTAAAAATCATATAAAAATCAGTCTACAAAAAGGGAGATATCCTTAAATATTCAATCAAGTAATAAGCCTGGTAGATGAAAGATTAATTAAAATGACAGTACAGTCCCCCTATAAGACACACATACAGGATTTACAAATACACTTGTTATGTTGGAGTACCTAATCATAATCAGATTTGGTAATTTGCCGCATCGAAACAAAAAGGAAACATTTTTAGGATTGATCATTCAGTTCATGTCACTTTCATGGAGATTACTTTCTATTGATCAACATTTAAATAGTAGTTGAAAAGAGAAAGATGAGAAGAGGATAAAAAGTATCTTTACATGCTAAATACAGCATGAACCAATAAAAGCAAAATAAATTAGATCACCATAGCCAAATGAACCCTGTGCATGCGCTCACTGTAATGAAGATCATTATGAATGAAAGAGATGGTTCTTCATGTTTCAGTCATAACAAAAGCAGAATTTTTAAAACGAATTTAGAGTTTAATCTGCTCAAAATGAAGTTTGCCATGCAGCAATTAACATCTGTGTGAAGATGAACCATCGCTAGCTTTACAAAGACACAAATGCTGGTTTTGTTTGCTGAATAGTATTTTCATGTTTCCTACCTGTGGATTCCAACTGGGGTCCATTTTTTTCACTGTAGCAATATACTCCTGCATAGCTTGATGAGGGCTGATGTCTCCAAGGGCTTTCCAAGCCTCCCTAGGAGAGAGAGCAAAACATCAGCGAGCCACTCGGAGACCATACAATGTGTTTTTATAGTGTCATCAGTGTAACACAGTGAACAGATCCATCTAAACATATTCAGGGGGTGTAAAGCCATCTTTCATTCAGTTTGAAATAGTTGATTCTTCTGTGAAGCCATGAATGGCCACAGTCTGCTGTGAAAGGATCTTTCAGAGAATTGTGATCCAGGCTGGAACATCACTTTGTGTTCACAAAGTAAAGCTGTTTGTAAAGCTATAGCTTTTTTTTCCACAAAATTTCTGTTGTATGTGGGCTAATCCTGGGTAAATAAGGTAAATATAGGAGCCTGATATTTCACATCTGCATCAGGCATAGCAGCTAACATTTCCCTATTAGACAAAGGATTTTAAAGCCAGTTCAGTGGCATCCTCTAGGTCCAGAATCTGTCAACAGATACGACAAGATGCAACAAGAAGTAGAGCCAGAAGTTGCTGGGAATTACAAGGATTTCCTCTTACCATTTCTGCTTTCCCTCAAAATCAAAGAAGCTTGGCTTGGGAGTGTTACAGGTTCCAAATTTCACCTAAAGAAAAGAAATTTCCTTCTGTTAGAACAAAGCAAAGGGCAGGGACTTGCATAAGGAAATACTGAGTTCTGATGGTTTCAGGGCAATTTTGTTCTTGTGCCAGAGGAAAGGTTTTTGAGGGAAAGAACTGACATAACTCAACCTCCTTTTACCCTCGTTTTAGCTCTCTCACAGGTATAGGCACCTCTCCATCCCTGTGTTTTCTTTGCACGATGCAAGTGAAGCAATTTTGTTATGCAGCTCATTTCTTTTGCATGCATCACCTAACAGGGATAACCAGCAAGTGATTTCTCACTTAATGTTATGTTTATTACCCAGCCAAACGCCTCATCCTCCACCAGGATCAAGAAAAATTCTGTTGATTAGGGTTTCTACAGAGGCGATTATTCATTAAGGCTGAAATTCACCTGCTTCCGCACAAAGCTCGAGTAAACAGACTTTGCTTAATTATTTTCAAGGTCCTCTGGAAGGCAAGGGGACAAACTCAGAGCAAAGGAATGCCAAGCAGCTTCTGAATTTGCTCCGAGGCATCAGGCTGCATAGGAAGCACTGTGTGAGGAACAAGTCAAGACCTGAGGTGAACCAGTCTGTCAGAAGTTAAGCCAGAAATTAAACTGTGTGGGGAGAAATAACAAACACCACAAGGAAGCAAAGGAATGAGCCAGAACTGGTGGAGAGAAATACGGTAAAAAAAAAAAAGTATAGCCAGTGTAAAATGGACTTGGTGCCAGTGGGATTCAGGCAGTTTTCTACAGGGTGGTATACTGATGGGACAAAGTCCTTCCTCCTTCATAGGGGAGTCCACCAAGGGTGACACAGAGGACTGACAGAGCTACACCTGCCATGGGGTCCAAAGGCACAACTATGCTCCTGCAGTAAGGCCAACACTGACAATTGCCTCAAGAATCGAGCAATTAGCAGGCTGAGATTTGGGTAACACATGCTTTGTTGAAGCTGGCTCAGGAGAAGATGTAAGCAAATCTGGCTGTTATCAGTGCCCCTTTCTCATAGAAATTAAAGCTCTTTGTACACAGGTGTCACTGGTAAAATAAATCTAACCGAAATGAAAATATCATTGCAACAGGAAAAGAATTTCAACAAAACATGGGGATTTTTTTTTAATTTTTTTTTTTTTAAATGAAAGTGCTATATACCCCGCAGGGATGACAAAGACTGTAGGAACCAGAGGAGAACAACAGCTCCAAATGCAGCAGCCCCTGGCAAGCAGTTACCACAGCAAGTGCCTGCTAACACACAGCACAGCCCAGTGCAAAGGAAGCCCAGCACGGATGGGGTATTTATACAAACCCCAGGGAGGGAACCTTCTGGAGAACCTTCCAAATGCTGCTGGATAAATATTTTGTTAGCCAAGCAAAACTAAACTGCATTTGTTGTCCCAGGGTCCTTTACCTGGTGTGCAGAGGCCAATACACACGCAGAGTCGAGGTATTTTCTATTTCTTGCATTTCTGCAGAGGTGGGTGCTGGGTGGTAATCCACAAAGCTAGCACCCCTGCCTGAAAACTCTTCGGAATATTTATACAGTTCAAAACACAGAAATACACACCCTTAATTATAATTATTGGTTAGTACCTTATCTTAATTTCTATTGGTTAGTACAGTCTCTTGCTTTCACTTAAAGTTACAAGGTCCTTTAATTAATGTGCACATGCTCCAGCACTGCAGGAGGGTAGTCCAACTCAGCCTCCAATAGAGTTGATGGTCACCATCTCCCACTGCCACCTTTATCTCTCCCTCAGTTACTGTTGACTTTACCCAGCAGCTGTCTGGTTTTCAGCTGATTTCAGAGCTTTCTGTTGTGGGATAGTCCTTATTACCAGCCTTCTGTTCTTCTTCAAGGGGGTGCAGAGAAGTGGGGTTGGTCTCGTCTCCCAAGTCACAGGAGATAGGACAAGGGGAAATGGCCTCAAGTTGCACCAGGGGAGGTTTAGATTGGATATTAGGAAACATTTCTTCACGGAAAGGGTTATCCAGCATTGGAATGGGCTGCCCAGGGAAGTGGTTGAGGCACCATCCCTGGAGGTGTTCAAAAGATGGGTTGACATGGTCCTCAAGAATATGGTTTAGTGATTTATTTTTTTTTTATTGCTTATTTCTTATTTATTTTTTTGTCAGAGATAGGTTGATGGTTGGACTAGATGATCTTTAAGGTCCCTTCCAACCTAGACGATTCTATGATTCTATAAGGGTATATTCATTAGCAAGGCACTTACAGTTTATACCAAGTGTCTGGTTTCACAAGGCCTTGTGACCTTTTCACAGCTCTCTATTCTTACCGAGTGAGAGATTCTACCTTCTAAATGATACTTTACCTTTTTTAAAAGTACATTCTACCTTCTTAAAGTACATCACATTCATCAAATGTTTTATGAAATATGCTGAAGTGTTCAGGCAGGTGAAGTGCTTAAATCAACTAACAATTCTTCACCTTAACAGGGTGGGGATTTTATGCTGAGGATGGAATCATTAATCAGGCTTTAAAGAGAACATGCCCACGCTGAGAGATATTTATTAGTTACACTATGTTTTCATTTAAAGTGTTAGAGGATATGAGTGACTGTAACTGAAATTAATTTTCTGTACATCTGACTGTCTCCCAGTGAGCAATTCATTCAAATTAGAACATCTTAGCTGGCCTTTAAAACAACATATTGCATTTCTAGGAGAAGAGGGAGGAGCAGTGCTGCAAACCATTCTTTGTCTGCTATATGGCTTCTTTAAATTTTTTTTTTTAAAAAAACTAACAGATTATTCCACTTTCTTAGCTGACGGCTTTGTAACCTGAAGGTCACACCTGCGACAATAAGTATTTCTCTGAGGCAAGAAAATGAAAGGAGTACCCAAAGCCAAGCTTGTTACCATGCATGATAAGTCTTTTTATTAAAAGAAGCTCTAGCCATAAAAATTCAGGAAACTGTTGGGTGGTTTACTTTGTTTGCTTGTTTTAAATTGCTTAATGCATATTCTTATAGAATGGTTAGAGTTGGAAGGGACCTTAAAGATCATCGGGTTCCAACCTCCCACTAGACCAAACCTCCTCAAAGCCCCATCCAGCCTGGTCTTGAACACTTCTAGGGATGGGGCATCCACAGCTTCGCTGGGCAACCTGTTCCAGTGCCTCACCACCCTCACAGTAAAGAGTTTCTTCCTAATATCTAATCTAAGCCTACCTTCTTTCAGTTTAAAACCATTACCCCTTGTCCTATTGCTACACTCCCTGATAAAGAGTCCCTCTCCATCTTTCCTGTAGGTCCCCTTCAGGTACCAGAAGGCTGCTGTAAGGTCTTGCTTTACACTGCTAGATACTTTCTTCATTCAGGATCGTACAAGGATTCTTTTTAAATTATTTTATTTCTGTATGAGAGTTTTAGATTGGACAAGAATTTACACAGCTTGCAGCTAGCTTTTGCTAACTGCACTTCAGAGCATATTGCAAAGTGCACTGCACACCATATAAACCTATTTTCCCTGAGGACATTAAAAAGGGTTTCCTCTAAACAACAATATTTGTCTCCTGTAAAAACAGGATCAACACCATGAAACATGAACTAGTGAAGAAAAAACAATTACTCTTAAGTCTCTAGAACACCACCAGAAAACAACAAAGAATCAAATTCTTGATTCATAGGCTTCTGCTCACACAAGATTTTGCTTCCAAAGCACAGGACCAAAAATGAATCAGTTTCCTACTATGAAAAGAAATTACCATGCCTTCAGCATTTTGCTATTAGTAAAATATCTCCACTCTATCTCCAATCAAAGGCAATACTTTTTCTAAAAAGCAATCCTCTTTAAAAATCATATAAAAATCAGTCTACAAAAAGGGAGATATCCTTAAATATTCAATCAAGTAATAAGCCTGGTAGATGGAAGATTAATTAAAATGACAGTACAGTCCCCCTATAAGACACACATACAGGATTTACAAATACACTTGTTATGTTGGAGTACCTAATCATAATCAGATTTGGTAATTTGCCGCATCGAAACAAAAAGGAAACATTTTTAGGATTGATCATTCAGTTCATGTCACTTTCATGGAGATTACTTTCTATTGATCAACATTTAAATAGTAGTTGAAAAGAGAAAGATGAGAAGAGGATAAAAAGTATCTTTACATGCTAAATACAGCATGAACCAATAAAAGCAAAATAAATTAGATCACCATAGCCAAATGAACCCTGTGCATGCGCTCACTGTAATGAAGATCATTATGAATGAAAGAGATGGTTCTTCATGTTTCAGTCATAACAAAAGCAGAATTTTTAAAACGAATTTAGAGTTTAATCTGCTCAAAATGAAGTTTGCCATGCAGCAATTAACATCTGTGTGAAGATGAACCATCGCTAGCTTTACAAAGACACAAATGCTGGTTTTGTTTGCTGAATAGTATTTTCATGTTTCCTACCTGTGGATTCCAACTGGGGTCCATTTTTTTCACTGTAGCAATATACTCCTGCATAGCTTGATGAGGGCTGATGTCTCCAAGGGCTTTCCAAGCCTCCCTAGGAGAGAGAGCAAAACATCAGCGAGCCACTCGGAGACCATACAATGTGTTTTTATAGTGTCATCAGTGTAACACAGTGAACAGATCCATCTAAACATATTCAGGGGGTGTAAAGCCATCTTTCATTCAGTTTGAAATAGTTGATTCTTCTGTGAAGCCATGAATGGCCACAGTCTGCTGTGAAAGGATCTTTCAGAGAATTGTGATCCAGGCTGGAACATCACTTTGTGTTCACAAAGTAAAGCTGTTTGTAAAGCTATAGCTTTTTTTTCCACAAAATTTCTGTTGTATGTGGGCTAATCCTGGGTAAATAAGGTAAATATAGGAGCCTGATATTTCACATCTGCATCAGGCATAGCAGCTAACATTTCCCTATTAGACAAAGGATTTTAAAGCCAGTTCAGTGGCATCCTCTAGGTCCAGAATCTGTCAACAGATACGACAAGATGCAACAAGAAGTAGAGCCAGAAGTTGCTGGGAATTACAAGGATTTCCTCTTACCATTTCTGCTTTCCCTCAAAATCAAAGAAGCTTGGCTTGGGAGTGTTACAGGTTCCAAATTTCACCTAAAGAAAAGAAATTTCCTTCTGTTAGAACAAAGCAAAGGGCAGGGACTTGCATAAGGAAATACTGAGTTCTGATGGTTTCAGGGCAATTTTGTTCTTGTGCCAGAGGAAAGGTTTTTGAGGGAAAGAACTGACATAACTCAACCTCCTTTTACCCTCGTTTTAGCTCTCTCACAGGTATAGGCACCTCTCCATCCCTGTGTTTTCTTTGCACGATGCAAGTGAAGCAATTTTGTTATGCAGCTCATTTCTTTTGCATGCATCACCTAACAGGGATAACCAGCAAGTGATTTCTCACTTAATGTTATGTTTATTACCCAGCCAAACGCCTCATCCTCCACCAGGATCAAGAAAAATTCTGTTGATTAGGGTTTCTACAGAGGCAATTATTCATTAAGGCTGAAATTCACCTGCTTCCGCACAAAGCTCGAGTAAACAGACTTTGCTTAATTATTTTCAAGGTCCTCTGGAAGGCAAGGGGACAAACTCAGAGCAAAGGAATGCCAAGCAGCTTCTGAATTTGCTCCGAGGCATCAGGCTGCATAGGAAGCACTGTGTGAGGAACAAGTCAAGACCTGAGGTGAACCAGTCTGTCAGAAGTTAAGCCAGAAATTAAACTGTGTGGGGAGAAATAACAAACACCACAAGGAAGCAAAGGAATGAGCCAGAACTGGTGGAGAGAAATACGGTAAAAAAAAAAAAGTATAGCCAGTGTAAAATGGACTTGGTGCCAGTGGGATTCAGGCAGTTTTCTACAGGGTGGTATACTGATGGGACAAAGTCCTTCCTCCTTCATAGGGGAGTCCACCAAGGGTGACACAGAGGACTGACAGAGCTACACCTGCCATGGGGTCCAAAGGCACAACTATGCTCCTGCAGTAAGGCCAACACTGACAATTGCCTCAAGAATCGAGCAATTAGCAGGCTGAGATTTGGGTAACACATGCTTTGTTGAAGCTGGCTCAGGAGAAGATGTAAGCAAATCTGGCTGTTATCAGTGCCCCTTTCTCATAGAAATTAAAGCTCTTTGTACACAGGTGTCACTGGTAAAATAAATCTAACCGAAATGAAAATATCATTGCAACAGGAAAAGAATTTCAACAAAACATGGGGATTTTTTTTTAATTTTTTTTTTTTTAAATGAAAGTGCTATATACCCCGCAGGGATGACAAAGACTGTAGGAACCAGAGGAGAACAACAGCTCCAAATGCAGCAGCCCCTGGCAAGCAGTTACCACAGCAAGTGCCTGCTAACACACAGCACAGCCCAGTGCAAAGGAAGCCCAGCATGGATGGGGTATTTATACAAACCCCAGGGAGGGAACCTTCTGGAGAACCTTCCAAATGCTGCTGGATAAATATTTTGTTAGCCAAGCAAAACTAAACTGCATTTGTTGTCCCAGGGTCCTTTACCTGGTGTGCAGAGGCCAATACACATGCAGAGTAGAGGTATTTTCTATTTATTGCATTCCTGCAGAGGTGAGTGCTGGGTGGTTATCCAAAGCTGGCACCCCTGTCTAAAACCTCTTCGGAATATTTATACAGTTCAAAACACCGCAGAGTCGAGGTATTTTCTATTTCTTGCATTTCTGCAGAGGTGGGTGCTGGGTGGTAATCCACAAAGCTAGCACCCCTGCCTGAAAACTCTTCGGAATATTTATACAGTTCAAAACACAGAAATACACACCCTTAATTATAATTATTGGTTAGTACCTTATCTTAATTTCTATTGGTTAGTACAGTCTCTTGCTTTCACTTAAAGTTACAAGGTCCTTTAATTAATGTGCACATGCTCCAGCACTGCAGGAGGGTAGTCCAACTCAGCCTCCAATAGAGTTGATGGTCACCATCTCCCACTGCCACCTTTATCTCTCCCTCAGTTACTGTTGACTTTACCCAGCAGCTGTCTGGTTTTCAGCTGATTTCAGAGCTTTCTGTTGTGGGATAGTCCTTATTACCAGCCTTCTGTTCTTCTTCAAGGGGGTGCAGAGAAGTGGGGGTTGGTCTCATCTCCCAAGTCACAGGAGATAGGACAAGGGGAAATGGCCTCAATTTGCACCAGGGGAGGTTTAGATTGGATATCAGGAGAGATTTCTTTAATGGAATAGGCTGCCCAGGGAAGTGGTTGAGGCACCATCCCTGGAGGGGTTCAAAAGATGGGTTGACATGGTCCTCAAGAATATGGTTTAGTGATTTATTTTTTTTTTATTGCTTATTTCTTATTTATTTTTTTGTCAGAGATAGGTTGATGGGTGGACTAGATGATCTTTAAGGTCCCTTCCAACCTAGACGATTCTATGATTCTATAAGGGTATATTCATTAGCAAGGCACTTACAGTTTATACCAAGTGTCTGGTTTCACAAGGCCTTGTGACCTTTTCACAGCTCTTTATTCTTACCGAGTGAGAGATTCTACCTTCTAAATGATACTTTACCTTTTTTAAAAAGTACATTCTACCTTCTTAAAGTACATCACATTCATCAAATGTTTTATGAAATATGCTGAAGTGTTCAGGCAGGTGAAGTGCTTAAATCAACTAACAATTCTTCACCTTAACAGGGTGGGGATTTTATGCTGAGGATGGAATCATTAATCAGGCTTTAAAGAGAACATGCCCACGCTGAGAGATATTTATTAGTTACACTATGTTTTCATTTAAAGTGTTAGAGGATATGAGTGACTGTAACTGAAATTAATTTTCTGTACATCTGACTGTCTCCCAGTGAGCAATTCATTCAAATTAGAACATCTTAGCTGGCCTTTAAAACAACATATTGCATTTCATGAAGAAATAGGAGAAGGGGCTACCAACAGCTAAGTCCTATAAATCAGTCACAATTTATGTTTCCTCCTGTGCTCCAGAGGTAGGCTGGACCAGTTGTTTTAAAAACCCAAACATGGAAATAAAATGCAAATTCATTGTCTGTATGGAAAATGCCCGCTTGGCAATTCTTTAGTTCAACATCTAACCTGCAAAAATTGGCCAAGTTGGATAAAAAAAAAAATCTCATCTGTTTTAATATTAATTTTCCACTGCCATCATCAAATCACAGCAGCAGTTTCTTCTCTTTAGATTTGGCATTCAAAGACCGTTCCAGCATCAGAAGACTGTTAGTAACATCGATAGTAATACAAATCAAGGAACAGTAGCTAAATTTCATCCATCAAGAGGGGAAAAAGTGCACTTGTGCCCTGCTTGCTATTTTAAGATATATTAAAAAGGCTTGCAATGGGTTTGTTGGAAAGAAGAAAATAAAGGTTTTGGCTTCCCTCTTTTTGCTGCAAGACTACATAATGCATCAGAAACCAACCAGGAATCCAACATTAGAGGAGACCTGAGCCCGAGAGCTGAGGAAGGGGAGTTTTAGCTAAATATACCAGTGCAAATTCATGACAAAGACCGGGGGGCAGAATTTTGTGAAGGGTTCTGCCCTCCTGCTACTTCCCCAGAGGGCCTCAAAAGCTGTTTTTCTCCATAACCAGCAGACAGACAAGAGCCCATATTAGTATTTCAAGTCAGAGTTTCTCATTCTGTGTCCACAAAATAATTACTGGTGGTCTCCAGGGGGCTGACTGGTCACTTGATGCTTAGATCTCCTCATTTACAGTTCATCAGCTGCACTACAAAAAGAGGAGAGCCAGAATGCATTAAATACTTTCCTAGTATTGCTTCTGCATGCAGAGTTGCCTGCAGACATTACACTCACGAATTGTACAAAGATGACCCAGGCAGCTCCAAATGGTAAGTGTCTGCAGACATCTCCATTTGCGGCCAAAATGGAAATTTAGAAACCCTGGATGAAGCCTTTGCCTGAGAGCTGAAGGTTGGAACGTTCAGGAGAGTGCTTGGACAGACAGATGCTCAGAAACGTGTTAGCACTGTGTACCATCCCCATACAATTTCAGCTGCTGGTCCAGACTGTGAGAAACCTTGATATTCTCCTTACTCATTACTCCACAACTGATTCCCACCCCCCTCTTCACCCGCAGTGACGGTGGGAAAAAACAGCTCTTTGCTAATTTTTCAATTAATAACATTTATACAGCAGGGAGTTCCAGCCAAATATTCTTACCTGATTGTAAATCTTGTAAGGTGAATCATATTTCCAGCCTCCCTAGGGAGTAGTAACAAGAACAGAACTCATCTCCGTGGACAGCAGGAATAAGCTCTAACTGTACACACGCCAGGTAAGCTGAATTTCTTTGGCAGGCAGGAATTCCTGCCTGTTCCTGCCCAAAGTTCTGCTCCATTAACCTGCCCCAACCCGTAGGGAAGCCTGTACTCAACTGACTGAAAGTGGGGCACAAGGAAGGACAAGCAATCATCAACCACAGATGGCAAAGGGTGGTAGCCTTGATGACCAAGGGGCTGTATGTCCCAGAAAAGAGTGACACTGGTAACACCAACTCAGCGCCATCACACCGCTCCGCACAACAGCAAGCTGTGGGCAGAAATGCTCACGTTCAGGGCAGATTTGTGGCATCATATTCTACAATATTTGAAAGACAACATGCAAAAATGGGATGATATTCTTGAGCCTACACTCAGATACAGCAAAAGCCCTGTTCTGCCTGTGCCACTGGGTTTCCAGCTCACTTGCACCTCTCATCATTTACTTCAGCACTGGCACATCCTCCTAGCAGGTAAGTTTTTTTTGGTCTGATCATTTCCACTAAATTCTGGATTCCCTCCCCTCTCACAACGATAAGCACTACATTGGTCTGCATTACCACACTTTCTGAATCTCAGTTTTTCACATCCCCAACATGACAGGGAAGTACTATCTTCAGTTCACCACTACGGACTCAGGCACAGACAAATAATTTGCCCAAAGCCACACAGAAAGCATGGGGAGAAAGAGAAAACCAGTCCCACTCCAGAGCCCTACCGACTAGTCTGTTCTTCCTCCTGTTCTGGGGCAGAGTCGTAAACTCAGCAACATCTTCTAAAAACCTCACTGGAGATGACAACTAAGCAATTCCCTTATTTTCAAGTCTCTGACACATAAACAAAATCAGAGAGAAGAGTAATAAAATCCTGAAATGGCCTCCAATAAAAGGTAATAAAGTTCCAGGAAAATGCCTATATACCCAAACAGTTTGAAATAAATAATATACAGTATTTTAACAGAGAGCTCAGCTGTTACTGTCACCTCTTTTATGATGGTGCTGTATCTTAAATCAAAGCCCTTAGTGACATAAAACACTAAACTGAGGAAAGACAAGGATGCCAAATCAAGGACAGTGGACAGATCTGAGTCAGCACCTTTTGTGCGCTAGCAATACTACTGTCCATGGGAGTAATATATTAGCAGCCCATTATGCATACTGATACAGCCGCTATAATTAAATAGAGAAAACTTGCATTAAGCACCCTCATTTTGATTTAAAGCACAAAACGCTGCAAAACTCAAAGTTAGCATAGCATAATCCTGCAGCAGCTCTGCTAGCAAACTCCTCACGTCTCCTCACTGCCAGCTCTACCCTCCCAGGCACCCTGTAACAGGGATGGCACCTTTCTGGACAGCACTGGGCAGCCAAAGCCACAGAAAACCAGGAGCTGAGCACAGCCTGAAACCAAGGAGCACAAAGGCACTTGCTGTTGCATCCTGCTTGCCCAGGGACAAGAGGGACAGAGCAGAAGAGGACAGAAGTGCCCTGTTCCCCTCAGCTGCAGGCAACTGGTAATCTGTGCTGACACAGTATTAATTATCAGCTTTTTCTGACTTGTATCAAAACTGTTGCGAAATAGTTTCTGATTTAAGTCATTTTTAACATTAAACACCTTATTAGTCTTACAGAGTTGATACTGGGAAACCCTCTGGAGCCAGTTGACAATGAGGAGCTGATAAGTAAGTAATGTCTTCCCATTTCCACCTTGGTCAGTTACAAAGCACTTTGCAACAGAGCAAAAAATAAAAAGTTATTTGCAACAAATCTCCTGAGAATACAGACCAAAAAAATTACAGAAGAGGAAAAACACCCTCTCTTTTCATTTCATACTAGGCATGGTCTTGCTATTCTTAAAAGTTCTCCTAGTATTTTTTTCTACCCTCCTTTTTCTTTAAAAGGAAATGAGAAACCTGGAGACCTGTTTAAGCACTAGAAAAAGCTGAAAACAAAACCTCATGTGACCAGCCTGCTTTTAATACAATTAATGGTCTGCAAACCACAGCCTAGGAACCATCAGCTTAGAGGATAATTAAATATTGCATGAAACAATGAAAGCACTTATATAAGCAGCAGTAGTAGGATAAGGGTATTCCATATGGGAGGAATATCATGGGAAAGATGTGCACACCCAATTTCAACTATTAATCCAAATGGGCGGGATTCAGTTTTCAAGTCAGGGCAGCATCTCTTGCCACACACCTGAGTCATATTTGTACTTTTATTCTTTAGTCTTCCAGGTGTAACAATAGTTACAACTTTTCTGTTTCTCCGGGTTAGGTGATTTATTACGGTCCTTTGTATCTTAATTGGTGCTTGCTTTGTTTGTTTTACCTAACTTTTCCCACAGGAACAAGCCAGAAAAAGTCACGCTGTGTGTTCTCACAGGATGCACCCTATAACTTGCTCAATGCACAGGGACTGAATGGGAAATGTGAATAGGAATGGGAAAAGGAGTCATGTTTAACGTTATACCTGGAACCAGTGAGTTTAGTTTTCCGGTCTGCTCTAAAGCTCTCCACAGACAGGCCTGCATGGGCATATCCTTCATGTGGTTGCCTCAAAACCCCAGAGATTTAATGACCACCTGATGTCTCCATCCCTGATGTCTCTAATGGGGAGGTGAGCACCAGCACTAGCTGCACGCCACAATCACCTTCTCTAACCTGCCCCAGCCGCCCAGCACACCCTGGCAAACATAGGTGAGACAGCCACAGTGACCAGTAGACACTCGGACAGGCCACCAACCCACTGGTGACCAGTCACAGAGGCCAAACTCTCCACACCAGCACCCGACTGGGATCCACCACGCAGTCCACCAGTCACTCAGGTCTCTGAGGCAGAGGTGACCAGGGCGATGGGGCTGTCTACGCTGAGAAGGCGAGGCACAACCATAGAATCATAGAATCATAGAATTTCCCAGGCCGGAAGGGACCTCCAAAGGTCATCTAGTCCGACCTCCCCGCAGTCAGCAGGGACACCCCCAACTAGACCAGGTTGCCCAGGGCCTCATCCAGCCTCTCCTTGAATATCTCCAGGGAAGGGGCCTCAACCACCTCCCTGGGCAACCTGTTCCAGTGCTCCACCACCCTCACAGTAAAGAACCCTCTCCTAATCTCCAGTCTAAATCTGTTCCCCTCCAGCTTGAAGCCATTTCCCCTCGTCCTGTCACTGCAGGCCTTTCTAAACAGGCTCTCCCCAGCCTTCCTGTAGGCTCCCTTCAGGTATTGGAAGGTTACTATTAGGTCTCCCCACAACCAGCGTGATGAATTTAGCACACCCCTGTCCCACCAGACTTCACCTCACCTCCACCACCAAAACCAAAGAGGCACAAAACTTGGTGCTGGACTAAAAGCTCCCCGCGCCGCCTTTCCCCACACCCACAACTTTCCCCACACCGCATCACCACCTTCCCTGCGGCCGCCCAGGCCCTGAGCCGGCGGCCCCGGGAGCCCCAGGCCCGGCCACTCGGTTACAGGACCGGCTCCCCTCCCGCTCCTTCACCCGGGCCCCAGGCCCCGCCCGCAGCCGCGGGGCGGCCGGTTCTCAGCCTGTGGGTCGGGCCGGGCCGCCCCGGTCCCGCCTCACCTGTTTGTAGCGGGCGTACAGGTAGAGCAGCTGCTCCTTGCTGGCAGCGGGCAGCAGCGCCGGCAGCCGCTCGGCCGCCTGCTCGAAGAGAGCGGCCAGGTCGCGGTCCGGCGACGCCGTCGTCCCCGTCTCCTCGGAGCCCGAGCTCCCCTCGCCGCCGCTCCCGGCCCCCGCTGCTGCTGCTGCCGCCGCCACCACCAGCGGGGGCGACGCCATGGCGGCCCGCCGCCCGCCCAGGTCCGTCACCACGCCGGTTCCCCCCTCACGCCTCGGTACGTGCGGCCACGCTGCCCGGCGGGAAACAGCGTGCCGCGCCCGAGGGTTCCGGTCTTTATAGCTCCCCACCCCCGGCTCTGCTGATGGCGATTAAAGAGTGAGCAGTGAGGTGGATTGAGTCCTGGCTGTGTGACACAACTCAGAGGGTTGTCATTAATGGAGCAGGGTCTCTGTAACCAGCGGTGTCCCCCAGGGGTCAACACTCAGCCCAGTCCTGTTCAACATACTCATCAATGACCTGGACGAGGGGACAGAGTGGATCCTCAGCGAGCTCACTGATGATACCAAACTGGGAGGGATGGTCAACACTCCAGAGGGCTGTGCCGCCATCCAGTGTGACCTGGACAAGCTGGATAGCTGGGCAGAGAAGAACCTCATGAGGTTCAACAAGGTCCTGCACCCGGGGAGGGAGAACCTCAAGCACCAATATAGGTTAGGGGTGGATCTTCTGGAAAGCACTACTGAGGAGAAGGATCTGGGAGTCCTAGTGGATAGTAAACTTTCCATGAGCCAGCAACGTGCCCGTGTCACCAAGAGGGCCAATGGAATCCTGGGCTGCATAGGGAAGAGTGTGGCCAGAAGGTTGAGGGAGGTCATTCTCCCCCTGTGCTCTGCACCGGTGAGGCCACAACTGGAATACTGTATCCAGTTCTGGGCTCCCCAGTTCAAGAGGGACAGGGAACTACTGGGAAAAGTCCAACGTAGAGCAACGGAGATGATTAAGGGATTGGAGCACCTCCCTTACAAGGAAAGGCTCAAAGAGCTGGGGCTCTTCAGCCTGGAGAAGAGAAGGCTGAGGGGAGACCTCATCTACGTTTACAAGTACCTAAAGGGTGGGATGAAGGAGGATGGAGCCAGACTCTTTTCAGTGGTTTCCAGTGATAGGACGAGAGGCAACGGGCACAAGCTGGAACATGGGAAGTTTTATTCAAATACGAGGAAAAACTTCTTTCTGGTGAGGGTGCCACAGCCCTGGAACAGGCTGCCCAGGGAGGGTGTGGAGACCCCATCTCTGGAGATCTTCAAGAGCCACCTGGATGCCGTCCCGAGTGATGTGCTCCGAGCAACCCTGCTTTGGCAGGGGGGTTGGACTGGATGATCTCTAGAAGGTCCCTTCCAACTCTGACAAATCTGTGATTCCGTAAACAGAAAAAAAAACGACGAGGGAGCTGCTCTTTATAACCTTTGCCAAAAGTGACACAGACACACACACACACACACACCCCGAGCACCCCGCTTCCCCAAACCCCCTTTTCCCCTTGCCTGGCACCCCCTGTCCCCCGAGGTTCCTTCCCGGCGGTCCCGGGGCTGTCGGGCCGGTGGAAGGGGGGGTCCCCGCCGCCTCCCCGCTGCCGCTAGAGGGCACTCGCAGGCCGCCGCCGCCGGCTCCGGGCTGGGCGAGAACCGGGACGGCGGGGGGAGCCCCCGGCCCGGCCGCGATGGGACGGCGGGTACCGGACAGCAGCCAGCACCCCAACCCGGGCATGGGGGGTGCCGGGTGGTGGCCCTGCCTGCCCTGCCCGTCTCCCCGGGGGTCCCGGCCAGGCGCCATCCCAAAGGAGGTTTATATTTAGCCCGGTATCTACTTCGGGCGGAAGGTTCCCCCCCGCCCCGTCCCTGGCACAGCTGTCGAGTCCATCTCCCTCCTCCACCCCCGGCCTCAGCAAATGGCAGCCCTGAGCCCCCCCCGGGGAAACCTTGGCCACCCAGGGCATGCTGTTCTTCCCCTCGGCCCGGCTGTGTGGCGTGGGGGGGCTGCCCCATAGC